GTAGGTGCTCTCTACCCCATATGAATTCCAATATGGCTAACAATCCCTTCAGGATTTATCCTCTTTACAATCTACCGTGAATGCATATACTACATCAATCTTCGCCATGCCTACCTTCTATCACCCTACTACTCCAAGCGGCTGTCCTCCCGGACGGTCATGTTCGGCTGTGTGCCGCCAAAATACCAAGATGCCGCCCGCATGCGAAAGTTGTTTGGCGACACGGTCAAGAACGTCTGGATCCCCCGAGATACGAGTGACTTGGAAAGGCTCGTCAAGGAGCGAGACGAGACGGCGATGCGGTTGGAAAAAGCAGAAATCCGCCTGATCAAGATGGCCAACAAACGGAGGAACAAGCAACTGAAGGCGGTTGCCGCAGCTCTCCCCGCTCTCCCCGAAACAGTTTCGAGTCCACCATCAAGCGGAAGTTCAGAACGTTCCGACGACCCCGAGAAAGGCTACCCGCATCAAGAGAACAATGCTCTGCCCGACGTCAACGGCTCCGTTGCCGCCCAGTGGATCGGGGCCAGCGAACGTCCGTACCACCGACCCCTGGCCAACTTCTTTCGCCGAGTCGATACGATCAAGTGGACGCGCCTACGCATCAAGGCCCTCACGCAACAGATCAACAAGCTGCGGCGAGGATTCCTCAAGGGCGAAGGTCGTCGACTACCTACAGCCTTTGTTGAGTTCTCCTCCCAGGCTGATGCCGAGCGCGCGTATCAGACCTTGGCGCACAACCGGCCGCTGCACATGTCACCGCGGTATATTGGTATTCGTCCAGACGAGGTGGTATGGAGCTCTCTTCGGATGCAGTGGTTTGAGCGTATCGCCAGAGACTTCTTGATGCGTGCCTTCATCACGGCCGCCATTGTGTTCTGGTCTATTCCGTCCGCCATCGTTGGAACTATTTCCAACATCAAGTTCTTGTCGGAAACATTTCCCTTCCTGGCGTGGATTACCAAGCTACCTGATCCTGTCACCGGTATCATCAGTGGCCTACTACCCGCTTTGGCCTTGTCGTTCCTCATGGCCATTGTGCCGTGGATGTTGCGAGGTGAGTAGCACATGCCGACCCCTTGAATGACTTTACTGACTCTTCCAAAGGTTGTGCTAGGCTTGCAGGCGTCCCCTCGCTCTCTCTGATCGAACTCTTTGTACAACACGCCTATTTTGCGTTCCAAGTAGTTCAGGTCTTTCTTATCACGACTCTCACATCCGCTGCATCGGCGGCTCTCACACAAGTGCTGAAAGACCCTCTTTCCGCAAAGGACCTGCTGGCCGACAACCTGCCCAAGGCCTCCAACTTTTACATCTCCTACATCCTTATTCAGTGCCTAGCTGTCGGCGCTGCGTCCCTGTTGCGGGCATTCGACATCTTCCGTCATCATGTCATGGCAAAGGGCTTCGATAACCCTCGTGGACTATTCAGGATTTGGCATAGGGAGCGACCCGTGCATTGGGGTGCAGTCTTCCCCGTCTTTACTAACATGGGCGTCATCGGTAAGCCGCGCTGTATCCCAACTCTTCTCCTCTTCGATACTGACTCCCACCAGCCATCAGCTACTCCTGCATCGCGCCCGTCGTCCTAGGCTTCGCCGCCGCCGGCCTCTACTGTATCTACCTAGTCTACAAGTACAACCTGCTCTACGTCAGCGACGCCTCCATCGATACCCGCGGTCTCGTATACCCCCGCGCCCTGATGCACCTCCTCGTCGGCCTCTACCTCGCCACGATCTGCCTCATCGGTCTCTTCGCCCTGCGCGCAGCCTACATCCCCATGGTCCTCATGATTGGCTTCCTCATCTTCACCGCGCTCGTCCACATCTCCCTCCGCGAAGCCATCTTCCCCTTACTCTACAACATCCCCCGCGCGCTTGCTCTCGAAATGGAAGAGCTCGACGGCGGATTCGTCGCCCCAGACTACCCGCAAGACGATTTCCTCACCGACGCCGACATCACCGCCGCGTACCCAGACTTCTTCGACCCCGGCGAGGATAACGAGGGCCCCACGCACGAAGTCAACGGCACCCGAGGCGTAGAGGGCGCGTCAGGTCTCATGGCCTCCGTCCAAGACTGGTCCGCCGGCGCCGTCGCCAAAAAGATGCAAGCCACGGCCGAACAATACGGTCTCGCGGGACCCATCGGCTACATAATGCACTGGATCGACCCTGCCCCCGACCCGAACCCGAACTTTGTCCTCCGCTGGCTCCACCCGGGCGTCTTTGACGACTTCTCCACCCTCCGGCGCACCATCCCCGTCGACCTGCCCGATCCGACCGAGACGTACCCCACGGATTACGCCCGTCGGGCGTACTGGCCGCCCGAGATGGCGTCGCCGACACCGGTGATTTGGATCCCGCGCGACGCGGCGGGGGTGAGCAAGCAGGAGGTGGAACACTGTCGTAAAGTTGTCGGGTGTTCAGACGAGGGGGCCGAGTTGAATGCCAAGAACCGGATCGAGGTTGAGCTTGAAAAGGCGCCGTTTTGGGTGCCTCGTGTTTTGTATTAGGGTTGTTTTTTTTGGACCAACTTAATGTAGCGTGGCGTTTTGGTGTGTTTTTGTTTGGATGATACTCCGTAGAGATACTAGCAAAGCCATATGCTGCTTTTTGGGCTCAGAGATCAAGCGGCCTCCGAATTTGAAATTCTGATTTGCACGTCGAAGATCATCTCACCAGCTCGTGCTCGTGAGATTTGCCCTGCCTGACAGATGTGGTAGATTTATACCCTCTTAACCTCATCCTCAATCATCCGCCACGTCCTCTCCGAAACCACCATCTGCGCCAAATAATTCCCCTCATGATCTTTCCCCTGGATATAGATAAGACACGGCGGGAGCAGACTCATTCGCGGGGTATTACACTGCCATACAATCTTCCCTCTCGGCGTCTTTCTCTCCTCCTCCTTCCCTTCACCCCCCGGCTCCTCCTTAGACTCGACGATAGCAGGACTAAAATCAATCACTTCATGAAACCTCGCCTTCCCCACATTCGAAACAGATACCACGAACCCATTCGCCTCCGTGAACTGATTCGTGCTCCCGCTCTCCGCGACGGCGGTATATGTAAGTCGAGTCGAGGCGTATACCTGCGCATCGGTAAGCTGGGACCGCACAGAGTTACGGATCAGCGCGACGGCTTCGCCGAAGGGTGCGTGGAGGAGACCCAAAGCTGTGGTGTTGGTCCAGTTGTAGGCTACTAGGTTCGAGACGTGCGCTTCGCCGGCGGGGAGGTCGTCTGCGTGTAGGCGGCCGCGGAGGTCGAGGGCCGTCGAGATGGAGATTGGTTTCGTGGGTGTGGAGAGGGGAATGTGGGAGCAGGCTAGGCGAACTAGGTATGCTGTTAGGATGTCGCCGTCGCTGAGACGGCCTGTTGTTATTGTTGTCCGCTCGTCGTCTGCGGCTGCGGCCACGTCTGACTCGGCCTGTTCGCGGAGGCGGAGGAGTGATGTGGCGGGGATGAAGATGTTTCGCTGGCGCATGCGGTTCGTGAGGAGGTACCACAGCAAGCCGAGCGTAAACCTTACTTTTCCCCAGCCGGTTAACCTCTTGTGTTCCCATAGGAACGGCTCGTCGTAGCGCTGCTTCTCTGCGTTTGCGACTTTTGCCATTGGGTCAGAGGACGGGTCTGCTAGGGGTGTGACGAGGTCTTGTCTGCCTGCTAGGACGCGGCACCAGTTCTCGACGAGTTCGCGGCGGCCCATGCCGTCTGTGAGGCTGTGCGGATAGGTAATTGTGACGAAGGTTGCGTCGGAGAAGGTTATGATGTGGAGGGAGAGGAGGGGGCGGTCTGTTGTTGTGTAGTCTTTGAAGGTTTTTGGTGCTTCGGGGCCGGCGAGGAGGGAGGTGAGGGTTGAGGGGGTGTCGAGGATTATGGGATGGCTTGGGGAGGAGTTGGTAGTTTTGGGAGGGAGGAAGAGGGAGGGGATGGTTGAGGATAGAGGGTGTGTGGTGACGCTGGATGGATTCGGTTCTGTCGTGAAGTGGACTGCTGGACGGGAGGGCGCGAAGGATTGAGGGATGTGAAGTTCGAGTTTGCCGTCTTTCTGATACCATTGTTAGTTATCGATACTTCTGAAGTGTCTCTTACAGATCAGGAGTTGGGTAGGAGCTTTGAGGCGTCGTAAGGACGAGAACCTACCATTAGTCGCGGCCTTCCGCCCAGCTTCTTCCAGTTCCCGATGGTGAGAAGCTCCGAGAGTGAGGCGTGGAGCATGGCCGGGTCAAGGACGTCGTGGAAGCACATGCTCCAGCTCATGATCATCATTCGCATCATCCAGGAGCTGTCCATGGCTGAGAGCGACACTACGGTGTCAGTGGGGATCCGATCCGGTTGGCGGGGCTCGGGGCCCAGGATCGGGTTGAGCAGAGGCCGAAGGGACGGCATGACTGTGGTCTACGTTGAAGTATCCTGGCCTAACACCGATCTTGAAGCTGAGAGAGGATTGAAAGCCGACTTAAAGTCTGCAGAAGTGGTGTTGAGAGTCGAAGTTATGAGGTCGGTGATGACGTTGGTGGGCTGGTGTGGAAAGCCCCAAGAGACGAACACAAGGGATGAACCTCGATCGTCTCATGACCCCATAGAGTGTAAACGACATCCCTTGGACAGGGACATGCCCTGTCAATAGAAAGCTTATACTGGCGATAGCCGTGGTCAATGATATGGGGTGGCAGGGTCTGACTCGTGATGGGAGAGATAACCTATAGATAAGGTCAATTTAAATGAAGAGCTCGTGGGGCGGTGAGATGCGTATTCTCGAGACTGAGTCGACCTTCCGTATTGACGAGTAGGAATGGGGGATAGATCGTAGAAGTAGGGGTTCGAACGCGGTTCTTTCAAGATAGACTGAGTATGACATCCCACTGCCAAGACATGGAGTTCGGTTGTCTGGCTTAAACTTTGTCCCTATTCTCTCGGAAAATGAGACTGTCATTTCTTGTACCTGCTGTCGTTTGTCAGAAAAGAACATATAGAGATTTGGGCAGCATCGGGAGCAACATGCCACTCACCATTCAACCCCTCCATCCCACCTTCGCGGCAGAGATCCGTGGCGTTGACTTCTCCAAGCCGCTGACAGAAGAAGTCTTTCAAGAGATCCAAGCAGCCATCACAAAGGTCTGCATCAATGACCTTCTCGTAGTCTTCAAGACTTGTCGCTAATCGTTCGAGGTGTAGTATGGAGTCTTGGTATTCCCAGCAACAGGCCTGGACGACGAACGCCACGTCGCCTTCGCCAGCCTCTTCGGCCAACTCGAGCGCCGCAAAGACACTGGCGCGCCGTCGCGGATGAGTCTGCCCGAGTTGACGGACCAGGGTAATGTTGACGCCAACGGCAACGTCATCGGCTCTCAAGATCCACGGGCTCAGATCAGCAAGGTATGTCTCTCCCGACTGGTATCGAACTAAAGTAAGTACTCGGAAGCACCATCTCTGATGTTTGAGCAGGGCAACACGCTCTTCCATGTCGACAGCAGCTTCAACGCCCAGAGAGCAAGTTACTCCGTCCTCTTGGCCCACGAGATCCCTCCATTGGAAGCGGGCGGCAACACTGACTTTGCCGACACGCGTGCGGCATGGGATGAGCTTCCCGAGGGGTGGAAGCAGGAACTCCTTTCGAAGAATTACGTCGCCGGACACTCGTTCTGGTATTCCCGCAAAAAGGCTTGCCCTGAATTCTTTGCAAAGCTTGAGCCGGCGAAGCACCCGATGAGCAAGCACAAAGTCGCCCAGCTCCATGAGGCCAGCGGGAGGATGAACCTGTTTGTTCCGTCGCACTGTCACCACATTGAAGGTCTCGAGGGTGATGTAGGAAGGGAGAGGCTGGAGTACCTTTACCACCACGCCACGCAGGACAAGTTTGTGGTTTCGGTTCCGTGGAAGCAGGTGGGTGATTTGGTCATGTGGGACAACACTTGTACTCTCCATCGGGGGACGCCGGTGGTCGGGAGCTATAGGAGGGATATGAGGAGGGCGACGGTGCTGGATGGGAGCCAGGAGGCTTGGGGCCTCAACGAGAAGGTCGAGAAAGACTTTGCGTTTGCGGGTGAAGTTATGGCTGATGTATTTCGATGTTTGTCTGCTTGATATCTTGCGATGAGGCGAAAGCAGTTAGAAGATAGCCAGCCTGTCCTTCGGCTTCTCTCAAGGTGAAATTACCTCTCAACAGAACTGTTTTCAATCAGCAAGACGTCCATTTACCAGTCCAGCTTTGACTCACTTTCAGATACATTAAAGCCTTTTTGAGTCTCTTTAACTCTATCAACAACCCATCGAGTCTTTTGATATCAAAGACTTTGCAGCAACCCAGGCTGCGAGTATGTCAACTCCATTCAAACGCAACCTGCTCAGTTCCAACAAAGCAACGCCTTGCCTTCTCGATTCGAAGATTCTTTTCTTGTCTTTCTTTTGCCGGGTCCCTCCGATACTCCAAGGCTGTGTCCCCGCCACCCGTCCAAGTGACCCGTCCCGTCAACACTTAGTTACCTCAACTCACCACAACCCCCCAACACGGGCACGGGAAGAGAGTACTTCAAGTCTCCGTCCTCGATAGGCAACCTCTGAAAGGCTCTTTCCGTTTGGTTTGACCGCCCATCACGTGGTCAACGACCTTTGAGTGGCCCAAAGGGGGTTGTTTCCTCCCCTTTTCGAGGCATCGCAATGGAGAAGGAGGCAGACTCGGCCCGGAATGGAAGCAAAGCAGAGAAGGACCCCCAAGGCACCTCGTCCCTTCTTCCACACTTCACCTCGCGTTTCCTCTTTGCCTTGTCGTCACTGAGGAATTTCACCATTCCATCTTCGGCGCACCTCAAACGCCTTCCACTCTTCCCCATCACCAACGACTTCCTTCACTTTCTTCTCCTCAATCCTCCATCGCAACACGCGGCAGCCGAGCCTCCAAGATACCATGGCTGACACCGCGGACTTGATCACCTGTGATGATCTAGCGGCCAAGATCAAGGCTGTTCTCGCCAAGAAGCTCGCCAGAAACGAATCGGCTCCCGATGCTCCTCGTTCTGTCATTGTACAGCGCAAATTCATCAAGATCAAGATGAACCGTCACAACCTCGCTACCATGCCCAACGAGGTCCTTGGCATGATCACTTCGCTCTGCCATGATCACACGGGCGGTGGTCGCGAGAACCTTCGCAACCTCTGCCTCGTGAGCAAGCGCATCCATGACATCGCGCGTCGCGAGTTGTACTTTATCGCTCCGATCCAGACTCCAAACCAGCTCGCTTGCATCGTCAGAACGCTTATCGAGAACCCCTCTGCCCGAAAGCTCATCCATAGCGTGCTCATCAGCATCGACACGAACAACTTCACCGGCAAGAATGCGGCGGCCCCCACTTACCGCCACTGGTCGTCCTCGGAGCTGGATGACTCCAAGCTTTCGACGCGCGATCGCCAGCTTCTTGTCCTCTGCAAGGCTACCTGCGGTAGCAAGGCTCCCGAGAACCTCCAGTGTGTTCTCGGTCTCTTCATGTTCCTGTTGGAGAACACTCACCACCTCACGATCTACGTCGATAACTACCTCTCCATTGTCGACCGCTTTCTGACCGCTGGTCTCTGCATTCTTGCGGCCAATTCGTCCAACAACCTCGACTACTCGCCACTGTTCCCTTCCCTGGCAAGCTTGGACCTGGTCAGCAAGACCTGGCTCCAGAGATCCAGCCAGACCTTCTTCGGCAAGGTCTTTCAACCCACCTTGGCCCTTGCGGCTTCTTCGCCTCTGCTCGTCGATTTCGGTTTCAAGGGACCCGAGGGCGAGCTGACCCGCGTTCTCATGCAGTGTGGCTCTGATGTCAAGTTCCCCTTCAAGAAGATCTTGTTGCGTGGTAGCGACTGGACCGCCTCGAGCCTCTGCGTTCTGCTCCGCCGTTGCCCGAAGGTGGTTCATCTCGAAGTCGAGACGATCCCAGACAGCAACAACCACTTGATTGGACAGAACATCAACAAGGTCATGCCCAAGTATTGCCCCAAGCTTCGAGTCCTGTCAATCCGCTTCTTCGGAAACAAGGAAGACTTCTTCGGTCACCGTTCTACCCTGACCTGTCTTCCCAAGATGGACAACCTGAGAGAGCTCCGCATTGAGATCGATTCTTTCGTTCGCGAAATCAAGTACCTTGGCGATCTCAACCTTGCTGAGAAGCTTCCTGACAGACTGGAGAAGCTCTTCCTGGATGCTTCGTCCGTGAAGTTTCCGGGTAAAGTCACGTCCAAGGCCCCCGCGGTTCTTGTGTACAAGGAGGACGTGAAGAGAGTCATCAGTGGTCTCTGCGAGACGCGTGCGGAGGAGATTCCTCTCCCCCGCCTCGACACCATCGCCATCGGTTGCAAGTACAGCAAGCCGAAGCAGTGGACCAGAGTCGCCAATGACACCATGGCCGACACTGATGCCAAGCTCCGCGTCTACACCGCCGCCGACGCCAAGACCTTGTGGGCAAAGTCTTTCGACCAGATGAACGTTTGAATTGTATCGAGGCCGCACCGATGAAGACATGGCAGCTATGGTTTGGCAAGGGGTATCATGACGAGACTCTGTGCAAAGGAAGCTGGCACCAATAAGGGTGGAGGTCCAAAAGGAGAACACGGATGGCTAGGGTGACTGCTGTGAAAGCTGGATAAACAAGTCTGGAGGCCAGGATGGGGAATGGGGCCCGATTTGTGTACTCTCGCGGGTATTTAGCTTTAGCAGTCCAATACTTTGGCCATGACTTCTCTTGACAGGCTCCAAGCCGATGATAGTTCTCCCAACATCTGGATCAGATACTGGTTCTCTTCTGTGATGTTAAATGCCTTGGCCGAGCGACTCGCTTGGACAGCGCCGTATACAAACACGAGTGGTGCATGTTGAAGCCCGTACTGACTTCGATAGGTGCGCACCAGGGAAGTGACGTGCTGCGCGGATGTGACGCAGTAAGACCGTGGCCTTTCGTCCGCGTCGCTTCCCCCAGATGCCATGGCCTGGTCATAGTTCAAGGCGATGCGAACACTGTGGAATTGAAGGCTAATGCGATTTTTTTAGAAGCAGACGGGGTCACATCTTATGGAAGGTCGACATACTGCAATGCCAACACTCCTGGTATCGTCTTCGAGGACGATCCACCCCATTTATGCCACTTTGCAAAGTCGGGCAGCGATTCGCGCCACCGGTTGAGGTCTAGGTTCAGGTTATCGAAGCAGACTCGCCGACCAAGGTCGTCTAGGTTGGAGCGCGGAGAGAAGAGCGTCGACATCATTCTCTCGATGATGCGCGATAGGCGGATTTGTTCGTGGAGGTAGGGGATCATGGAGCTCGCTCGTGCGGATTCTCTGTATTCTTCGTCGAAGCCTACGGGGCGCCAGAGTTTCATTTCGGGAGGCTCTCTGGGGACGACATATTAGACTACATCTTCTGGGCGAGGATAAAAGGCAGAGACGAGGTAGGAGAGGGAGTCACGAACGGCAACGTTTCCATGGGCTGGACCTCGGCGTCGTCGTAGACTAGGTACACGGGCCGGCCGAGGATCAGACTGATGAGCTTGTCGGAGATGTAGCAGCCCCAGTAGATCCGCCTGCGGATCTCGACGTCTTCAGGTGTTGCCAGGGATAAGTCGTGTTGGACCCAATCTTCGGGATCTCTTTGGAGGCCGAGGTCCTGGGCCATGCGGAAGGCGATTCCTTGGTCGGACGTCCAGTCAGTCTTTTGTCACGAGCGAAGCATTACGAGAGACTCTCGCTAGATACGTGGGCTCACCAGAGTACCCCCAACCCTTGGACAAATTACCCCTCCCGATTTCGTAGAGCGCAAGACATAGGAACGCCTGCACGGTAGCGACGCTCGGCCTCGTAAGCCCCGTCACCATGATGATGCTTTCCGCCGCGAGGAAGAATCGCTCGCTCGTGGCTTTTGTCTCGAGGCTTACCAGCGCGCCAAGCGCGCATATTGAGAGGAGTAGTGCGGGAGACCAGTATTTTCTGTCATTCCTACCATTATTGGCATCACCATTACCGTCGGCATTGCTGAAGTGGTCACGGAGGAAGGCCTCTCGGTAGATGAACATGAACTGCGGGTATTGCCAGCGGAAGAACTGGGTCAGGGATTGCAGAACTGTGGAAGAGGATGGGCCGTCGATGCCAAAGTGTTGCATTACGGATTCAAAATTTGATTCGATGCCGCCTCCTCGGAGGAGAGCGGCGACAGTGACGGTGGAGGGGTCCTTTGGGTCTTTGGAGGAAGAAGAAGGGAGATCGATGCGGAAGATGGAGGTTGCGCCATGGTAGATGAGGGAGCCTTCGAGGCCTAGCTCGAGGTTTGCGCTTGAGCGAGCGTGGATGCCGAGGTGAGATATGTAGTCCCCTGGTGCCGGTGCCGGTGCCGATGCCAGCGGTTCTGCTTCATCCCTTTGTACGTCTTCTTGAGCTTTGTTAGAACTACTGGCAAGAGAAATTTCCTGTCTCTCTGCAGCTGCCGTAGAGTTGAGCATCTCCTCCCGCTGCTCTGGCGTGGCGACACGGAGAGATTGAACAAAGGTCTCGAGCCATGATATGCGGGACTCGAGGCTCGCGACGTACTCGTGAGAGGCCGGGACGCGTTTACGATCTACAGGGCGGTATTCGCAAGGCGTATTGGACGTGCTGCAGTTTTGGCATGGTTCGGTGCGGGAGCATTTGAACTGAAGAGATGTCTCAGCGAAGAGTTGGAGAGACAAGGATTGTGATGGGATCAACTTCGTTGATGCTACTGACTTTTCTGTACTGGCATCTCTTGCATCTGTTCGTTTGTTTAGAAACGTCTACTACTCGGAGGTAGACTACAGCTTACGATATCCTTTTGGTGGGTTTCAGGGGTGTGGTCTGGTCGTCTGAAGGCATTGCTCAGGCGGGAGCCAATGCCGGCTTGAGAAGGATGAGGTTGTTGAAGGTGGGAGGTTGAGGTGACTAGGGGAGGTGGCCGATGCGGGACGCTTCTCACTGTTTTTTTCAGTGGACTTGCGCTAGAGCATTCCCCCATGCCGCCCGCTATTGCCTCTCTGGCTTTGAGGGTCAACATTTTAAGGATTGCGATATTCAACACAAGAGAAGTCATCAAAGATCGCCATGGAAGACTGTCTGCGATTTTCTTTGAATCAAAACACAAGCAGTCGAGAATCAAGACTGTCGGCTTGTCTCTTTCATCGTCCCCTTTGACTGCGCATCACTAACACGGTGGGATACCGCTTTCAAGCCCTGACCGGATCACCGCCATCAACCTCTCGACATCTTCCAGATTGCTATAAAAGCCAAACGAGACTCTGATGCCGGCCCTGAACTTCGTCACTACGATGCCCGATGTCTCCAAGCGTTTAGACCACCTCGGGTCCTGCAAACGAAGAACATGAAGATGTGGCGCGTGGTGTCTCCTCTCGCTGGGCCCAATAACACCAACGCCTAATTTGGCGCAAGATTGTCGCAGCGCGTCTCCGAGATTATACAAATGCCGCTCGAGGTTTTTGGGGCCCATCACTCCGAAATAGAACTGGAGGAATGCCCTCGCGGCCACAGCTGAGATGAAGCTCATGTTGGCATGCTCGTATCGTCTCGCGGTAGGGTGGAAGATAACAGGGCCTTGGGGGACCGTGAAGTCTTCCGACTCGCCGACACTGCTCACGCCGCTGTAGCCTACAATGGGTGGCACCGGATCCATTTCTAGGATGATATTCGTATCAACGTACAGCGCCGCGAACCCAGTCGGCGAGTTGAGGCCCTTGTGTAGGCTAAACGCCGCCGCTGAAACCCCCAATGCTTTCACATCGACGGCGGCAAAACCGACTTGTTGCGTAAGGTCCGCGAGAACGTGGATTCCCCTGTGCCTGAATGCCGCGCAGACATCCGCGACATCGTTCCGTTGTCCTGTGTGGAACATGATGGAACTCAGCCCAATCGCCCTGGTCTTCTCATCGACATACGGCGCAAAGGTATTCGCGTCCGCTGCTACCGGGTTCTCTGGGTCTGTAGGGACGAGTCTAACTTCCAGCCCAGCCGAGCGGAGTGTCAGCCAGGCGAACGCTTGGTTCGGGTGTTCGCAGTCGAGAATCACGATGTTGTCGCCTGGTTGGAACGTGAGACCGCGGATGAAGCTTCCCAGGCCTTCAGTGGTGTCCCTGACGAAGGCGATGGTTGATGGGTCTGTGTTGATGTACCTGCCCAGGAGTTCCCTCACTGCTTCAACATCTTCTTTCCAGCGAGGCTTTGGAGAGGGGCTGTGCAGAGCTTCCGAGCAAAAACGGGAGATGGCTTCGTTGACGATAAGGTTTGAGGGGGGCATGAAGGCTGCGTTGAGATGTGTTGTCTTGCCGCTTGAGACTAGGGGTACCAGGTGGCGGAAGAGCTCAAAGTCTGGAGCGGTAGGCTGATGGGTTGAGAAGGTTTTGGCGGTGCTTTTGGACGCTGGACGTTCGACATCGAACAGGTCTTGGGTGCTTGAAGGTGCCATGACTACAAGTAGTTGCCCGAGACTGAGACGAGTGTGGTATGGATTCTGGCGAAGGAGAAGAGAGTTGAAAGGTGCGAGATGATGGATCCATTTCGAGTGTGCGTTTCCAATAGCTGCCCGGCTCTATTTTATATGAATCGCATCCAAAGCTCACAAAGTCCAGTCATCACACACAATCCAGATTCATTCAGACGACTGACAGCCTTCTTAGAGACCATAGGAAGCCCGCTCCGGACCAGTGCTGCCGACTCTCCACAATGGAGTTGCAACTCCATCCAGTCAGGACTTCTGCTAGTGGCCCACTACTTCCTTTTCCGGCGTGTGTCCGGCGATGGCCCGGAGCGGACTTGGAACTCCATAGTGGAGATGACGAGATCCTCCGGCGCTACGGGGATACCTGCGATGTCGGCACATGTCATCATCATACGCAGTGTATCTCAGATATTTCCGTATGGCTATATTGTTCAAGACCTGTCGAATGGAACGAATCCAGGCCTTCGTGTTTATCAAGGTTCACCGGGGCTTCATAGGAACAGTCCAGATGCCCACCTCTAGGCCAAGGCTTCCAACTCTCAGAATCAACAGGCCCTTCTTCTTAGGTAGTCAGCAATTGGGAAGTTTATGACGAAGGGTGTTATGACCGTTTGAGTAGACTCTTCAGCCTGTTGAGTGGTCACGATGTGTACCTCTTTCCGCATTTCGTTGGACGCCATGCAAGTGATGAGGAAGGCAGGCATGAAGCGAGAGGCAAAGGGCCATCACAGCTGGAAGGAGGCATCTCATATCTCATCTTCTTTCTTGCTTCAAACTACCTCAACTACCGACTGTCTTCTTGACCGACCCCAATCTTATCCACTTCGTCTATTCCCATCACTTCTCCATTGCTTCTCTCGTCTCTGTTCCCCAACGAGACCATCCATTCGACAGAACACCCGTCTACCAGCATCCAAATACATAATACGACAACTGCAGCCTTTCCTACACCCCCTTATTGATTGATGGCCTTTCGAGAAGACGTTCATCAACAGTCAATCAACCAATCATCAGACTCGAACCTCCTCGCCCCCGACCTTTTGGCGACCCCATAACAAGAATCGCGTCTACAACGGCTACATGGCCACTTGACATCAGAGGTCATGGCGGGCGCTACTTTCTCATCATTGCCGAGCGAGCTCATTACAATGATTGCCCGCCAGTGTGAAGATGCCTACCCTCTTTGTCTCGTAAATCAGAGAATACTCCCGTCAGCTCAACAGGGTTTATATTTCACCATCAACCTTCCGCACACGCATTACAACCAACTGGTACTTCTCGTCCGAACGTTAGTTGAAACCCCACATCTGCGTCGCTTGATCCGCGAAGTCGACATTTCATTAGGCCCGGACGCTTACTACGACCCAAGCAAGATGGAAACGCCAACAAATCTCACCAACTGGCACAGGTCTAAACTCGACGAAAGCAAGCTCTCGGACACTGAGAGGCATATCCTGCTACTATACAGACAGTACGCGACGTTGTCTCGATCAAATCCACCACTCGCCGTTGGGTTGCTGGTGGGCATATTGCTCTGCTTTGGTCACAGAATTTACTCCCTCACAATTTCTCAGATTCGAGTCTTCAACCCCACTTCCCATGCATTTCAACTGATTGGATTGCGGTCAATCTTGTTGGTTGCCATTTCAACGTTCTCCGTCGGGAAGCAGAGGGTCTGCCCAGAACTAAAGTCGCTTTCCTTGCTCCCTAGCCCGATCCACACACTGCCTCATTGTCTTTTGGGCTCAACTTTCAGATTTCTGGAATACTTCGTCGCTCATCCGACTCTGACGACTTTTGTTTCCTCGTGCGATCGTGGCGTATGGGGTCTATCTGGCCATCTCGGTGATGCACCATTTCTTTCCACGAAGCAACTCATACTTCGGCGTACGGGTTTGAGATCTGCAACTCTCGGCAAGGCCCTAAGAAGGTTCCCAAAGCTCACACATCTCTTCGTCGACTTCGATCCGGGTCTGAGTTGGGTTCGGACTTTGAGTGGCCTTGGCTCAGTAACAGATTCCGAGTTGGGCGCCGCGATTACGAAATGTTGTCCTTGCATCGAGCATCTGACCTTAAAGGTCTGTGAGCAGGGAGATTTGAAGTTCTTTGGCGAGAACCCTACTCTAGAGATTCGCTCTCTGATAAACAGCACATTGAACCTGGCCGGCCTGAAGGTATTCCGCAGCAGAATTGCGATGTACTATTCGCTCCTCGAGACACTGGATGAACGCGCTGCGATGGTCAAATGCTGGCTGCCTCGGCAAGCGGAAACGCTTTTGTTGGATACCACGGACACCAAAGAGGATGTGATGGGCGTACCTTACTTTGAAGGTGTGAAATCTCTTGTCCTATCTCTCTGCCAAGCACATCATGAGGACCACCTTCGCTTCCGAACCGTGGTCGTCACCGTCGGCACTGGAGGCAACATTGACTGGAATGAAGTATTCAAAGAGGCCAGAGAGTATGGAGCTGGAACTGACTTCCGACTGATGGTCGTCTTCTTTCCTGCGATGCTTCGGGCTTTCTGGGACGACACTTGGAGACAAGGGATTGATATTCCAGCTTCGTTATCAGCAGGAAATCAGTATGAGAATGAGGTTGTTGATTCTGGATGATGATTGGGAGGTCTCTGGTCAGAAACATAGGGTGTGGGTCTATGGCATTATCTGGTAGGTATTCAGGAGACAAGTCCGTGGTGACTGAAGTTACTAGGGCGAGGGCCGCAAGGTCGGGCTAGTTATCTGTGTAAGAAACATTCAGATGGCCCAAATGACGCACTCTGATGATTCTAGATGTCCCAAGCCCATCTTGTGTCCGATGAACGCTGTCGCTTCACTTGCGGCAGATAGATGCCATTCACACTCACGCCAGCGTGTTGCAGCTACTCTACGTGGTATCTGATCTTGAGAAGAAACGCAACCCCACCATCGTTCGGCGGACTTACGTGACAATCCCATGCAGCCTTCTTTACATGTTTGCGTGATGGTTTGGCCGAGCGGCCCGCCCGGGCCTGATGGGATAGTTTTGGTCCTCTGAGAGATTTTACAATAAAGCAAGGTACCTGAACTTGATGCCATCACGTCTAGATATTAAATCGTGGTGGAGATTCTCGACTTTGCCCAAGTACCTTAACGCCGATGGACCACGTGACTGGATCTTCCGACGAGTTCCGAGTTTCCGGTGCACGTGCGTCGATGTCACCCGTTCCGACATCAGCCGATCGCTGCCCGAAGCGGTCACTAACGTCTTGCTGCAGCGGTTTCTGATAAAGATTCTCACACGGCGCCTTGATGTATTCGCGATTGACAGAACTGATTGTTCCTCGTTGTGGACGAGCAAGTAGGTCTTCGAGGATTATTGAGCAAGTTTCTCCAATGCGCGCAGTTTGCAGATCAGCTCAGCAAGATGCAATTTCACCGAGAAAGCCCAATCCGAGAGCCTGCAAATGCTCGCTTTCACTGACTGCGGTTTGCGGCACGGTGCAGATGCGGACGAGAGGGTGTACGGATACACTAGTAACACGACATAGGCTCCAGAAGTTGGAAGCGTCCCATTCCGCCAGTCTGTTTTTAGGCCTGACCAGAGCGGTCTGGAAAGTTCGCCTCCCATTGACATCATCCGCCATCGGCGGCATGCCCTCGCAGCATTGGGACCAAAGAGAACGGCGCCGTTTGAAGCCTCGAAATCGCTAGCATCGTGACTAAGAAAACACTCCGACGCGGTTGGCGGCACCAGTCAACAGGAAAAGGTGGTTGGGACGGGAACAGGGCAGGTCCAGCACTGCAGCAGCAACTCTAGGTGTACACACGCAGGAGGGTCAATGCACCCAGGGTGTTAGAGCCGTGGGGTTCGCCGTCTGAGTAGTGGGGTTTGTCTCCTCCTGGCTGGTCGCTAACTTGCTGAAGAAGCGATGATGAAGAACGGCCGAGTGATGAAGAAGAGCCGAAGAACGCACAAGAGAGACCTGAGACCGTCGATAGGTGGATCCGTCATACCGTCCAGGCAGGCGATGATCTATCGCAGAATTACCCGATCATGCGCGCATCTCGGACTTGAAAATTGATAACGGCACAAATGCCTCGAGGGCCTTGCCGTGACCAGCATGCCAATCCGAGTCTCAGCTACATCGGTACATCGCAGAGCGAGTGGTGAAGATTCACGCACAAAGGCCGCAACTCGAGACAGCCACACACACCGCAGGCCCAGAGTGACAGGACAGACGTCACAGCCACGGGTACCCCTCACTCGCCCGTCCATCATAGTGCTACAGACAGTACCCCTCCATCAATGTTGGCGCAGCGCTTGGAGCAGCTTGCAGCAGTTTACGGGCAGGCAAAGGATGGGATACCCCTCCCTCCTCGCTATGTACAAGTGCGTCCGACGTCAGCCGTCAGGACAAAGATTCAGGGTCCTGCCTGAACGAGGACCATTTGCTATCGTCGTCATACCGTTATCTCTGCTTGTCTCTCGATGCCAGTCTCGTTTTGGCGCTGCCTGTCTGTCTCACAATAATACAGTCCTCCCAGAGCAACTTCTGGAAGATGCGACTGGATGCCACGGGATGCCTACCTGCTTCGGCAATATCTCAAGAGATACGAATCTCATCTCATCATCCTGCCAGGGTCAGCTGCAAACGATGTATTGAGGAACAAATGGCCGAATCCTAGCGCCTCCCGCACAAAAGACGCAACCCATCTGAACCTTATCCGGCAACGATGTGTTGAGATAAGAAAAGGTTGACAATTGGGAAGCATCGCAGTGGTCTTTGACCCCGTCGTGCCCGTCAGCCAGGATTGGTTTGGGCGGCCGAGGCGATTCGCGCGGCGCAAAAAGGGCAAAAAGACCTCCCCCAAACCAACTGCCCCCCCATGGGCCATTCCATGGACATCCATGCCGGGCCAAGTTCCAGCCCCGAAAGAAAAGGGAGACGACTGGCTACCGTCAACGCACAAAGACCGCAAACCCCACCGAGGCACCCCTCGCCAACAGGTCGCCAGTCCCGAGCCACGACGCTGGCTTGACTTGGACTACGTTTCCGCACAAACGGCGCACCCGCCCAATGACGGGCCCCCGATCCGGTCCCATCTGGCCACCCTCATCTGACATCTGACCCCTCCTCCTGCTACTCCCAGTGTCCCCTCCTCTGGGTGACTATCCGAGCTGCTAGGAGGAGGCTCTGGATATATAAGTGCGCGGCTTCTTACCTTTCTTCATCCGCCTTTGATCTGATCTCCACAACGTCAACATCCAAGTCCATCACGTCAACTACAACAATAACACCTTTTTAAAACCCCCCCAAACCAAACCAACAACCATCAAAATGAAGGGTGACTGCGGCTGCTCCGGCGCTTCTACCTGTATGTACCTACCCTTACCCCCTGCCACCGCAACGGTGTTGTCGGCGGTCAGTCATTGGAGACCAAGACGCTAACCTGTCTCAGGCAACTGCGGCTCTGGCTGCTCTTGCTCCTCTTGCAAATAAACGCCTCTTCCCTTGACGACGACCTATGATACGTTGCTGCTTTACTGCGGTTTCGCTTTCTCCCGATACGACGACGAAATGAGTTCTTGAATTCGGGATATGGGTTACGACTTGGTTTGATGGTAGCTGGCATCGGCGGATAGTGTCTTTTCTGATCGATGGACCTATTGGCATGTTTAGTCACTCACTTGAGCAATACACCTTTTGAGACGCCGAAAGCCTGTTCCTATGTCCCACTGTTGTGAGGTTGCATGTGCTGTTTGCTGCTCTTGATCCCTTTCGGAACCATTCCTTGACTTGAGGAACTGCTGAATGGCGATGTCGTCTTCGTGATAGCCAATTTCCAAGATACAGAAGCCGGACGACAATAGCATGCGGTCCCCGTCGCTTTATATAACTCGCCCAACCCTCAAGGTGCCAATAGCGTCAACCTTGATCGTCTCATCAAGGTCACGGCCAAGGCTGTCAAGGTGCGTGTCGCCAAATGTCTCAATCACTCAATTCTCTGTCTGCCTGGCCTCCAGTCTTCTACCTTGCTTCTCTACCCCTCCAAAACCTCTGACCGCTCCTATGATGAATCCGAGCCCCGCCCCGCCCCGCCTTGGCTCCCCCTTCGACTGGGACCCCTCCGAAAACCCCCTGAGAGCAAGTGTGCCTGTGCCTGTGGTGCCCGTGGTGTGGTGCTTGTGCAGCCACAAAGAAGATCGTCACATCAACTCAAAACACACCTCACATCACCCACGACAACCAGTCAATAAAACGTGGGGTGGCCAACACAAACACAGCCTTTGCTACATCTACGACGACATCGTTACGCCAGACCGCCAGCTTATACCGGGGACCATCACGCCAGTGGCGTAACCAGCGCGTTCCAGCCCTTCAAGCTTCCCAGGCTTCTAGCCAAGAAAGTCCTGGACTAGAAAGAGGAACCAGACAGAGCAAGACAGAGAAGAGGGGTCTGAGTTCTGGCCCGGCCCCATGAGGCGATGCCACGAACGGAACGCATCGGTCCTTGCCGCAGGCCACGGCCTCCGTTCCCCGCCAATACCCTCTCTTTTTGGTGTTCCTCTCGAGACCCTGATAGGCTGGACCTGCTTGTGCTGGGGACCAAAGAATCCAATGGGCAGAAAAAAGAGTGGTTCCAGGGAAAACCTCATGCCACATGAATGGACGACATGTTCAGAACCCGCGACGCGAAGCCTCCACCTCTATTTTCCGTGACCAAGAGGAGCGAGTAAAGGGAACCAAGAGGAGGCCAGGTAGCTCTTCGTGTCTTTGTTTTTGTTACAGTGGTGAAAACAAGAGAAGCAGGCCTCCACGGCGTCCTGTCTTGAGCTATCCCAGCGTCATGCTCTCAAGTCTGAAGCACCAAGAAACCACTCCCCTTCTGCAGCTTCGAAAGAGTGGACTTTTAGGTAGGTCTCAGATGACGAGCTCTATTCTTCCCTTCTCCACTTCCTTCTGTAGCCCAATTGTCTTCAGGAACAGGGGGGGACAAGCTCTGTAGCGCGTTAGTCGTGGCGTGCCGAACCCGACTTTATGCTTGATTCTGGGCCTTTTGTTTACTTTCACTCCAGTCCATTGCTCTCACGGTCTACCTGCCTACGATGCCCAAATACGCGGGCACATTGAGAGGCAACCTACGGCTCATGGCGAGTCGCCAAGAAGTTCACGCTTCTCGTCTCCAGCCGAAGCAAGCGCGCGGCTGCCTCCCAATTCCTCTGCCCAGACTCTTCCACACACACACACGGGCCATGATGCCACACCCCAAGCTTCAAATTGGCCTATGATTCCTCACCTTCTCAGTTCATCTTGCTTCTACGGAGTTTAAGTACACAAAGAACAAGAGACCATACCCCTTCCCACAGGCGAAGATACAAAAAGCAGGCCGCGTCATCCAACACACCATAGAAACCTCTCGTGGCCTCTCAGTCGTCCCTGGCTCCCCCGTATCCAAACGTGTCCCAGTTTGTCCCAGTCGCACCCTGCATGAGAGGCGTGTCCCCTCATGTACGCCAAGCGGCCCCCATCGCGAGCCCTCGGCACCCTCGTGCCGGCGGGGTCGAATGGCAGTAGAACAAGAGCATCAATAGACTCGAGGCATGGCGTGGGGAGTGCATTAGAGGCATTGAGTAGCTACCTACGTTAGTCCTACCTACCTTAGTCTGTCAAAGCCAAAGGTAGCTCCTATTACGCCGTGGACATATTAGACACTCAATGCCGTACAGCCATACGAATATCCGTAACCCGGCATCGCCGTGACGTGAAAAGGGAACCAGAGCAGAGCTACCCCTCCATCCATCCCACTTAAGCTCCCACCCCGCCGCCCCTCCATCGCCTAGCCTCACCCTCGCCTCGTCTTGCCCCCTGTCCAACCAACGAGCTCTCCTGGAAGCTCCCATGCCTGCCCCTTCCCCCCCTGTCAGCGGAGGAGGCTCTTGGCTCCATGAGCTACGTAGCAAGAATAGCCAGCACCGTGACACCACCTCCCATTGAAACCAGAGGTCACAGGTTGTGACATACTAGGCACAGAAACGAACCGAAGCTATGGGAAGTGAGCAATCCGGATCCAATTGGCTCGTGGATGTACACTAAAGCTAGCATCTCCCTATAGGGCCAGACGGGCAGGGCCAAGCAAGAGCCCAGATGTTGCCAATGGTTGAGGTATTCAGCTCCAGGTCCGTAGACAAGAGCATGAAGCTTCCCTGAGGTTCCCCGAGGTAGAAGCAGGGCGTGAACAGCGATTCCAGCCAAGGAGAAGCTCCCATCGTCAATGGAAACCCGCTCCCCCTCGTCCCAAGACCGCCATTTCCCACCTCCACGTGTCTGCAACAGAACGACAAAGTACCCAGTGAATACAATGGAGGCCTCTCTCTCTTCCACAGTTTCACTCCCCCTTGCTCCTCCTGAGCTTTCTATCTACAGCTTGGTGTGAATAAGGTTCCAGCCACAAGCTGCTGCTGCCCCCCATAACTCCTCCTTCCTAGGTAGCTGCTTCTCGTCATCCTTCCCTCCTGACAACACTTACATCTATATAAAGCTTTCCCATCCCCCACTCACCCGCAGCTCTTCTTCTTCCTTTTGACCAAACTCAATTTCTCTCAAACATCTAAACAAACAAACAAACATCAGCCAAAATGTCCAACTTCCACCACTCCGCCCAGGACACCCGCGTCGACGACGGCCACATCCTCCGCGCCCGTCTCCAGAACGGCAACGGCGACTTCGTCGACGCCGAGTGCAACCTCAACGACTGCCTCGGCAACGACAACGGCCGTTTCGATTGGGGTGGCCGCGGTACGTCTAAATCCTCCTCCTCTTCCTCCCCTTTATCCTCTCACACTCCCATACACACTCTACATCTCACTGGGGAAACCCGGGCTGCCTCCCCTTGACCAGTACCTCATTCCATGATACGAAGCAGCAGATTCACTAACGTATTCCTTTCCTTAGGCTTCGCTGATTCCGCCGAGAACATCCGCTTCGAGTTCGAGGGCGACCAGCCCATCCTCCGCGCCCGCCTCTTCAACGTCGAGGGCCAGGCCATTGACGCCGACGTCAACCTGTGCGAGCGCCTGTCCAACAATGACGGCAACTTCCACTTTGAATGTACGTCTTACACACACCAACCTCATTACCTCTCTCAAGAATACGCATCTAACAACAACGCCTTCTACAGAAACGTATCAAAAACGAAAGCTTGATATGACGGGAGCGAGGAAGATGGAATGATTGAATGGCATGAAGCGTTTTTCTTACGCGTGATGGAACGGGAATGGAAACTTCCTGATCTATACCGACCTAGAGTTCGGTCACGCAATGACTTAGGTAGCTGATAATTGAGCTACTTGCCCTGTTCAGGGCTGAATGAACCCTCTTTGCAATGTTACTGATGTGAAGGAAAATGGCTATTTGAATAGGATCCCACATCGGATGTTGACGCTTGTTGGTATAAACCTTCACTCAGCCCTTCCAAAAGCAGTTCTGGTAGACTCATCATTCATGCTAATCGACTCGTGTCTCGTTCCCTCGTAAGACACATCAAAGGGTATGAGTAATCCTCAAAAAGCAAATCCATCCGATACGAACGCCAAATCAAACAATTCCCAACAGGATATCCTCCTTGAGCCATGGTCAAGCTTGGACCGTATTCCAAATACGGTTGTCGAAAATGCTGTATCCCAGTTATCCGCCGTCAACATCTGAATAGTTGGTCATCCAGTGGGTTCATGTGGTACAACCACTACCACCACCGTCGCCCCGCTGTCGCTTCGCAACCTGTTGACTCTGGTCACCTCCTTCCGCATCCTTCTCATCAGCCTTGCGCTTGATGTCCCGGAGTGACTCCGCTTGATTCGGGTTCTCAGAACCCTTGACGATTTGCTCCATGGCCTTCATCTTGGGTATGAGAGACTCTCTGACATTCTTTGTCGTCTCGCTTTCAATGTCACGGAGAACAGCGAACCCCATGGGGCGGTACTCTGGCCCGTCCAGCCATCCTCGTATCTTCCCCTCCATTAATTTGGGAACGCTGCGGTAGACTCCTCGGATCGCTTCCAAGAGATGCTGGTTGATAGTCGTCTCAAGCGTCTTCGTCATCGCAGCGGTGATGGCTTGCCCTTGGGACGAGTTCCCCCGGGTAGAGACCACAGCGGGTTGACTAGCCGTCTTGTATTCTGCCAGCGAGGCGGTTTTCGGTCTTTGCTCTTGAAACTCTGTTTTGACTGCCAGACTACTGCTTTGCTGAGGATTGCCGGAAGAGGCTTGTGGCGGTGGGGTTGACGGTGTCAACATTCCGGACCCTTCAGTTCCACTCGGTCTCCTAATCAATGCGCGATGCTGGGGTAGAGAGCCATCCAGTGTACCACTCGATTCTCGTCGAGTCTGCTGCTTCAAAGTTCGTTGAGTGTTTATGGGAACCTGAATAGGAGGCTGCTTCGAGAGCGGGGGTTGGGAACCAGATAGCCCTCCTCTCGAGGCTGTGCTCGTTGCTGATCTCGACTCTGTCCTAGCAGCGGCCATGGCTTTCTCTTGTTGAACGCTGCCACTGCGCTGTCTCTTTGGAATAACAAACCCGTTGAAGGCCATCTTCGAATCTGGGTCGTTGGACATCGGCTGTGCCGCTTGATCCGTGGGGTTCCCATTTGTTCCCTCGGGACACAATCTCCCAGCAACGTTTGGCTCTTGAATCGACGAGGGCCGCTTGCTCGATTGCAAGCGAACGTGCTTGTCCACCATGGCACTCTTTGCCAATGCCTTTCGCTCAGTTTTGGGGCCTCCACAAGAGGACGGGCTCGCATATCGATCTGAGCCGCCTCCATTTCCCGTCGAGGGCGCGACAGCGCTGGTTGGAGTAACACGAGCAACTGCTGCCTCGTTCTTCTCTTTGAGGGCCTCCTGCTGGAACAAGAGCTCCGAGAGAGCTGCGAAGTTACGCGGTTCCTCCAGATCAATTCGCCCGTGAGGGAATGCCCCAAGTTTGGCATTCATGCGTGCGTCAGTACTGTCCATCTGCCGAGGTCCTTTCGGAGGCTCATACTTTCTTTGCTCCTTCGAGAGCGACGGGTCGCAACATTTGCGCGCGTCGAAGCCGGCCTTTTTCGCCAAATCGACGAGCGTCTGATGCATGCTTCCATTGTTGAGGATCCTCGACACTTCGCAATCCACAGCGTTGAGTGTCTTGATATAGTAATTCTCGTTGGGGTTGGGTACCGGATACCGGAGTGCAGAGTACATACGCTCCCAGCACTCTTGGTCCGTAAGGAGAGGAAGATCCGACAAATCAAAGTCCCAGAAGACTGATTTGAGTTCCTTGTCAACTCTTGCAGACTTGTCCGGGTAATGTCTGAATGCGGGCAGTTTCTGGGACTTTGCCCAGTCCAGCCATCTCTTCAACCTGACGGCCCGGGGCCACCTTCTAAAGTCTGGAGGCGAAGACATTCTATGGACGTATGAGTCGTTAGCAGAAGGGGGAAGGGGTATTCAGGATGATTTACCTGGAAGATTCCTTTTCATGTGCTGACGAGAAGCAGGTAAGATAGGAGGTGGAAAGGAAAAAGGGAAATTTGTGTAGTTTGCCGCAATGTGATCCAAGGGAAAGTACCTCTGGGAAAGGTATGACCAGGAATGATGAGATGAGTGCTTGACAAGAACAGCGCGATTCGGAATGGCGGCAAGTGGTGTGAGAAGAATGGAAGGTAATGAGACGCAGTGGGTAAAAAAAGGAGGGAAGCTGGAAGGGAGGAAGGGCAACGAGAGTGAAAGTGTTGATGTTTTGGGAATGCTGAGATGTTTACTAGGTAGATAAGTGGAGGAAGGTGAGGTAAGTCATCTCTGTGAAAGGAAGGTGAGATGGATGGAGAAACATCGCAGAAAAGCCCTATGCCACGAAAAACACCTCTGCCGGTCGAGGGCCGTCTGTTTGTTGCCCGTATGCACTCGCTCTGCACGTAACCGCGTCAAGAACAACGCAGAACGGCGATCTCTATTGTTAACAGACGGGCCCAAAGCGGAAGACATAGTACATGGGATGCCAACATATCTTGTTGATCTTCTGTTGATGGGATGTAGGAGAGTCAACCAGATAGGGGCATATACATGATATCTCGTCCGAGTACGAATTCTGACATTGATTCAACTTATCCAGATAGAGGCACAGCTGACGGTATTTTCCAGATCAGAAGTGCAGTAAAGACCCAAGTATTATCAGAGCAAGAATCATTGATATTCCATATGTTACAAAGAGTACAATATCTGTACAAGTCTCCTCTATACCAGACACATTTTCCTCCTCTCCTTTTGGCCCTTCGCCTTTTCTCACCGACCTCGACAACACCACACCGCCCCTTCTTACGCCTTGCCCTGGATCCATGCCCTCTGCACCGGCTTGGCGAGGTCCTTGTGTCCGGTAATGGGTAGGCCTCTCTTCTTGAGCTCCGCCTCGATGACCTTCCAGCGGCCGACCTCGGTCTCCTTGTCGATGGGTGTGACGCGCTTGTCGCGAACGCGGACGTTGGGCAGCTCGAGCAGCGCGCCCTGCTGGGCAATGGCCTCGGCGACCTTTGTCGGCTTGGGCGGCTTGACGATGGTGGCGATGAGGTCGCCGACCGTGTTGATCTGTGCGAGCTTGGCGTCGTGGACGCGGTGGCCCGTCAGTTGGAAGACGCGCTTGTGGACCTATAGAAATCAAATGTTAGATTCTTGTTAAACATGGTCTCTTTGGAGGTTTGAGAGTGGCACTTACAGCAAACTTGAATCGTGCGTCCTCGAGGGAAATGCTCTTCCAGGCTTCGCCCCACGCCTCAACCAACGCCTTGGCCTCAGCAGCCTCGACAACGCCCTCTGAGGCCTGCGTCTCCTGAGCCTCCAACAGAGGTGCGACGACGCCCTCAATCGCCGCAGCATCACCCTCAAGAGAGACGCTACCATCCTCGCCAATCTTCAACCCCAGCGCCGTCGCCCTGCTGAAGCCCTCCCCGTCGCCCCTGGCCCACGCAGCCGTCAACCTGCCCTGCACCTCAGCAGAAGATCCAGCAACAGCAAGCGCCTCAACAAGAGCCTGCCTCACGCGCGCAGCACACACATCGGCATCTGCGACGGCCTCCCCAGCAGCGCTCGAGAAGCCAACGTACTCGCTCTCCTTGCCCCAGCGGCCCTCCTGCTCCCACCACCCTTCGAGCCCACCAATCTCCTCGAGCCCTTCAATCGTCTTGGCGGGCACGTAGTCCCCGCCCTCAACTTCCTTCTCCGTCGGCGCCCATACGCGCTTGTTCTTGATCTGGTGCGCGAGCCGGCTCTGGGGCTTCTGGCGGCGCTTCTGCTCGGCCCGCTGCGTCTCCTGGTTGTCGGCCTCGAAGGCGGCCAGCTCGGCCTCGGCTTCGGCGAGCTCCTGCGCGATGCGCTGCTGGCGGAGGGCTTGGGAGGAGTCGGCGGCGTAGGGGTCTTCGGGTCCGGGGGCGTCGCCGCCTTTCCAGAGGAACTTGCGGACGCGGCTGGGGTTTGCGGGTGTCGTTGAGAGGGCTCGTGATGCTGTTGCTGAGATGGGGAATGTGGCGGGCGCGGCGCAGGTGCATTGGATCGGGGAGGCTGCCAGCAGACGAGGCTGCCTGAGACGAGGTACACGACGCATGGTGGGCGACAGTGTCGTGAAATACTGTAGAGGTTTAAAAAAGGTTGGTGATGAACTCCCTTTCCCTCCTGGTACGGGCAAAAGACACAGCACAATGTTCGGTAGGGGGAGCTTCAAAGTCTCCAATTGAACTTTTTTGGATGCTGGGGTTACGCTGGCGAATCAGAGGTGAAGAAGCTTCAGCCACATTCGAGCAGGTGTACCAGCCACATGGGAGTGGATCCCGACCCTGATCCGCTCCGACTGTGGCTCGTGCGTCCGTCACCTCTCTGACGGGGAGCCAAAGACGGCGACAACTTCACCTATCTGTCTCCCGCGCCGTCGCGAGATACAATCTAGACTCGGTCGGCAGTGGACGCAGCTCGCCAGGATGAACCGCATATCAATACTCTTGCTGCTTCTATGCGGCTTCGTCGCTCTCGTCAGCGCAAACTGTAAGTCTTTCGCAACCCGCCAAGTCCCTCTCCCAACAGCGAATACAAAGACATACTAACACCCCTCCAAGCAGCACCAACGTTCTGCAAATGCACCTGCTTCAAAAACAGCACCATCGTCGCCCTAGGCCCCCAACACGCAGACGGCGAACCACCAGGCAACGCACCTCCCTCTAGCCGCGACACCTCCTCCTCCTCCTCCTTACTTCTCAACAAGCGCGCCGCCTCCTCCTCCTGCTCGCAATGCACAAAGGCCTTTTGCCTCAGCCGCGGCATCGACTTTTGCAGCAAAGCCAAGGACGAAGACGTCCAGACCATGTGCTTTCAGCGCGACAGCAATAAGGACCGCGTCATTGTCTGGGGGTTCCTGCTGGGCACGTCGGGTTTGCTGGGGTGGGCTATGTTTAAGAGGGCGAATGAGTTAAGAGAAGGGAAGAGGGCGGCTGATGCTGCTACTGCTGGTGGGAGGGGGGATTATAGTCAGCTTTCGCCTGCGAGGCCGAATTGATTTGATTTCTGGCTCAGGGGTTACTAGGGTCTGGGAAAGGCGTTTGGGCGGGCGTGATTTGGGAATGGGTTCGTAGGCGAGGTTTATGTAGGAATATCACGGGGCGGCACGGCATCAACCCTTTTGTATCACCAAAGTCTACAAAGTCAACAAGGTTAAAGGAGACTCAAGAAGCTGTTTTGCGAAGCTATCTATCTCTCCTAATTGTCCTTGGCGCTCTCGAGCAATCCAGGGACGCATGTATCATGAACCCATGCAACCGTGACTATAAACCGCATAAAAAACCACTTTTCTTGATTTCCTCCCTGGAGCCTTGAAAAATGCAAATGCTATGCATATGGGGTTGGTATGTTCAATTTCATCCAATCAAAGCCCCTCCACCCCCTTATTTCGCTTTTTGGTGTATTTCCTCTCGTTCAAAAGCCCATTGTTACTAGGCGTTTACTCCTCCTCAAGGTGAGTAACCTTGTGCGAGTCCTCGTTGCCGTTGGCCGAACCAGCGTTGCGCTCGCGGCGGGCGCGGACGGCGGAGGCGAGGCCCTCAAGGACGTCGACGGTGGAGTCCCAGTCAATGCAGGCGTCGGTGATGGAGACGCCCTTCTTGAGGGCGGCGGGGCCCTCGGCGGGCACCTTTTGGTTGCCCTCGTTGATGTTGGACTCGATCATGACGCCAATGATGGACTTTTCGCCCTCGCGGAGCTGGTCGCCAATGACGGCGGCGACCTTGGGCTGGTTGCGGTGGTCCTTGTTGGAGTTGCCTGTGTGGTGTTAGGTCTGGTATGTATCTAGGTATATGATCTGATAAAAGAGTAGACATACCGTGGGAGCAGTCAATCATGATAGCCTGCTTCTGGCCCTTCTTGGTGAGCGTGTCCTTTGCCTTTTGGACATTCTCCTTGTCAAAGTTGGGGCCGTGGGAGCCGCCGCGGAGGATGACGAAGCCGTGCTCGTTGCCCTTTGTGCGGGTGATGGCGGCGAGCCCCTGCTTAGTGACACCCATGAAGTGGTGCTTGGCGGCCGCGGCGCCGATGGCGTCGATGGCGACGCCGAGGTTGCCGTCGGTGCCGTTCTTGAAGCCGACGGGGAAGGACAGGCCGGAGGCGAGCTCGCGGTGCAGCTGAGATTCCGTGGTGCGGGCGCCGATGGCACCAACCGAAATAAAATCGGCGAGGAACTGGGGGGAGATTGTGTCGAGCATCTCGCTGGCGATGGGCATGCCCGCAGTCGTAAGATCGCTGAAGAGCTGGCGGGAGATGCGGAGGCCCTTGTTGATCTTGAAGGTGGAGTCGATGTCCGGGTCGTTGATGAGGCCCTTCCAGCCGACGGTGGTGCGCGGCTTCTCGAGGTAAGCGCGCATGATGACGCAGAGGTCGGAGGAGAGCTTCGCGGCGAGGGCCTTGAGGCGGCTACAGTACTCGATTGCTGTGGCCGGGTCGTGGAGGGAGCATGGACCGATGATGACGAGGAGACGGTCGTCTTTGCCCATGATGATGTCGACGGCCTCGTTGCGGCCGCGGACGACGGTTTGGAGGGCGGCGTCGGTCATGGGGATCTCGGAGGAGAGGAGGGCGGGGGGGATCAGGGGATCTTGTCCCAGGACTGAGGGTGTGTTAGTCGTTGTGAGAGCATTGTGGTGATGTTTAGGGGTTTAAGGCGGTGGTGGTATGTGAGTGGGTGAGTGAGTTGGGTGAGATGAATGAGGTATGACATGAAGGTGTCTGGTGGGAATGATGGTGAGTGAGCCGGGTGACAGAGTGAGATTGAATGCTGAACTATTCAAGGACGAGCTTGAAAAAGGCATCGATATGAATGAAGATGGCAGCTTGAGATGAACAGCTTGTGTGGGGCAGCGCGGTAGGGGGTCCATGAGTGACATTTCCCAAGGTGGGCGGGCTCATTCATCCACCTCACGTTGAAGGGGAAAAAAAAAATTAAGTGACTCACTTCTCACGTCGTCAGCCGCGAGGGGCTCATGCTCAAGGTCAAGACCGGGCATTCTGGCTATGTGTTGATGGGTTTTGGGTATCTTGAAAACTGCGAAATCGAGCCAATGTTAGTCAGTAACATTGTCTCTTTCAGCTTGAAGTTGCTGCCAAAGCGATTGGACCCCTCTTCCATCGTCACCGCTGATGGTTGTCTGTGTGTGGTGGATGCTGCCCATCGTGAGATTGACCGCAAAAACCACCCACCAACCCCAAAACGGTTCCCCGGATTGAACGAAGAGGTCGATCTCCCGCCGCGTAGCAGGCAGTAAAAAAAGCCCAATCAAGGGTAGGGAAATAAGCTTACACTGATATTAACAACGAAGGCAGAGAGCGGACGAACAGCCGGTCGCCTATTGGATCTGACGGGGTATCGTGTGGTGAATCGTTGCTTGAGCCGTCGTTGACCGAGCCTGGAGGAGTGGGAGGATGAATGTTCGTCCACAGGGGAAGGGGAGCGTCCGGTAGTGGCCTTTTTTGGGGGGTGTTGGTCGATGACTGTGGTGGGCGGTGACTCAGAGAGTGGGTTTCTTTTTGTCCAAGGTGAAAAAATGAAAAGCCAAATAAACGCAGTGTTCCTGTCCCCTTTGTGACTACTGGCTGGTCCAGGTCAGGTCAGTCTTGTTTGTGTGGTTTGTGACTGGCGGCGGCGGACGCGGAGCCCTCTACTTTTTTCGGAGGCAGTCCCGCCGGGGCAAAGTCCAAAAGTATCTTCTCTCCTTTGCTTTGGACAGGAGGTACCTGATTAGGACAATATCATGGTCAATTTGCGTTGAAATGCGCTGTTGGCGCTCCCTGTCCCACGTGTGCCTAGTCCTCTGCTGTCCGGACAATTCTTCAGTTCAATATGGCGGGGTATCTACTGGACGACTCTCCCTCATGCAAGTTGCTTTCTGCTATCCTTGCCGTTCCAAACTTCCAAAGTGAGGTTGTCCGCACAAATTCTGGGTCCGTCGACGTCACAGATCCATCTATCCGATTCTCGACTGACCAGAATTTATCCACGGAATCATGGGCGGAGTGGGTGACGGCGATACGCGACGGTGACGCAGTGAAGAAGACCATGCCATGCTACTTTACCTAACAGCAGGCGAGAGTCAGGAAGCGCCGATGGCGGGGCAAAAAAAAAACAAAAAAAAAAAAAAAAAAGACTTGGAGGGGTATCTTAGTGGGCAGATGCATGCAGTGCTGCACCAGCGCCAGCATACAGCGGAAGTATTCTTCCTCTCTTCCCCTTCACCGCCCACACTTTTCTCTCCCGTCCTGCTTTCAATGGTTACCTCGAGAGGCATTAAAACCTCCAGATAGTTACGTCGAGTCTGATCATGTCAGACGAGGGAAAGAATTGTGTTACATGTGCTTCCTGACGTTGGAGGCCTTGAACAGAGATGAGACGCCGTTAGCGTTGAACGCCCCTCTTTCTTTCTTTCGACAAAAAAAAAAAAAAAAAGGGATTTTTGTGAGAAATTGACAACATCTTATTGGTCAATTCCATCGCGGTCTCACCGAGGCCTCACCTCGGTTTGTGGGGTACCGATGCCGGCACTGGATCAAGGTGACCTAAGGTGAGCGTTCCAGGTGCGTCCGCCTGGCGCTGTTACAGCCTCCAGCCGCCCCCACGGCTCCGACCCGCATCACAACGAGGCCGGGGAATCCACTTTCAACCTCCTGCGGGAGGGACAACTAAAGGACAAGGCTGAAATGGAACCATGACTTGATACACGTTGTTCTCCGCTGTCATCTTTCAACTTGCAACGAGAATTCCATGTAACAGCTCCGTGAACAAGGCGTTGACCACCCGCAAATAGAGGTGAAACCCACACCCGTTGGCCCCGGCTCTCTGACGAGACCTTGGAGAGATCGACGTTGGGTCTGGTCAAGTTTTGCGAATCAAAGTCTTGGCCTTGTTCAAAATAGATCTTCTTCTGGGATCGGTATCTTTAGATGCTGGTTTCAATCAGAATGGAGTGACTGGTTTTCGCCTTCGAATATAAGTAGAATTAAAAATGGAGAAGAAATGAGAATGAGGCTGAAAGTCGTGTTGAAGCGATATTCAGCAACCATGTTCAATGTCAG